ATTCAGCATTATATATTATAAAGTATTGTTATAAAATAAATTCCAGTCGTCTCGATTTTTTGGCCAACTCCTCTATCACTTCATCAACAGTAATTTCAACTTTCCTGTGAATGTTCAACATAGCCAATTTTGTAAATATGTAAGAATTTTTGCTAATTTTTTATTTTTTGGAGAAGTTCTGGGGGGGGGTCCAGTACTTTGGATACTATCTTTTCGAAAAGGAAAGTTTTTTTTTTTTTGAAAGTTTGTCTCTTAAATATTATTCAAAAGTAATTATTATATGATTTTCGTTATTCGAAGTTTCTGGAAATTGACAAAAACAGTGCTGTAAAAAGTAAGACGTACCGTTACGGAATGAAAAAAATATAAATAAATGATGGCTGGAAAAAACTGAATAGATATTCGAAAACAAATCGTAAAACGGGAACAATGTAAATTTTGGAAAAAGTTTGACGTCGAATCCATTTGCGCTCTAGAAAATAAATATATTTTATTAGTAAAATACAAAATTATTATAAATCTCATATATTAATCTATAATTAATGCTTGACTATTGTCGAGTTCATAATTAATAATATTATAATAATTTGGAATTGAAATATTTTATTAGGAACTGAAAATATTCAATCTTGTATTTATTGGAAGAAGTGAAAATATCAGATCAAATAAATTGTGAAATTGGTGTCCCATTTTACTATGAATATTATACTAATATGTTAACATAGATTATGAAATGCATCTGCCTACTTAATATTTACTTTTAATATGCACTTAAGGTCGGTTGGTTAAATTCATATTCGTGGTAATTGAAATTTTTCTTAAATATCTTATAAAACAGTGTTTTACAGATGAATTATGGATGTCGGTGTAACTGTTCGTATTTATGTATAAAAAATACCTTCGGCTTTCGGTCTGTTTTTAACTGCTATTGGTTTAGATACAAATCTAACTTCGTTAATAACAGTCCTGCAGTAATTTTCGTATATTTCTTTTTCTTTTATTTGGTTTGTGTCCCCATACAGCCACAATTCAGAGCCATAGATGATGGACCGCAGTATCGACATAATTCGTGATATATATTTGAAGTTATCGACAGATTTAATAGGTCTACTCTGGAAAGCAAAATTCCTATAGCTTTTAATGCCTTTCTTAATGTTAAAGCATTTTTCTAGTGAACTAAAATATGCCGTTAAACTAGTGAACAAGCAATTTAAATATATTTTATGAAATATGAGGTTACGTCTCCAGGATATAACACATTACTTCTGATATCTCTTAATGATTTATGGACAGATAAAATATAGATGATCCCCCCTCCCGAAAAATAACTCTACGACGTATAGAGTTGGGTTGACCCCCTTATAATCACGGATGGTACGAGTTGTACGAACTAGCAAACGAGTGGCACGAGTTATAACCACAAACTTAGATTGAAGTCCGAACAGGGCCGGCTTAAGATACGATCGACGCATGTGACGGTATAGGACGGCAAAATCAGGACACGTGAGAAGCGTCAAAATTAGAATTAAATTTGATAAATCGTTGGCGACGCAAATTATCTACTATAGATAGAAAAAAAATGTCACGATGTGATTCAATATAAATTTGATTATTATTATAACTATCATTATTTATTATTCTATTGACATGCAAGGATTGGCCGCGCTTGTAGATACAATTACAGTTTTATAATCTATAATAATAGATTATTATAATAATATAATAGTTTTATAATCATTATATTATTACAAGTATTATTATGTTTGTTCTCTGAATGATTTACAAATATGTGGCAAATATGCACGTTTAATAAATTATTTTGAGCATTTGTGATTATGAATGAGGCTTAGGTTATAATATGTATAATGAGGCTCCTTCAGCTCTCAAAATTCTGCCTGTTTAAGTTATATATTATATGTTTTTTTTTGTTGTATAAGTCGTTTAAGATGGAGGATTGCCAAAATAATTCTTGCACTGAGTGCTGAAAAAGCTAAAGCCTTAAATCTGGGTTCGAACCACCGGTCTGCGGCTGACGGCCATGAGTTGATGAGTCCACGGCACTTGACCCGATCGTTGGACGTAGCTCAACGCGAATTGGCTAAGGGACATTCAAAACCAATAGACGATGCACGTTAACCGAACACGGGACAGGGCTGTGGTGGAGCAACATCATTGCGTCGACACCGGAGGCCCGCGTCCAGCGCGAGCGGCTAGAAGTGATCGTGTACCCTGGATCGAGGGTTTTAGGATGGTGTAGACGTGGGGCAGGTGTACTGCGATATCGCTATCGATACTATTTCTTCGCAACAGTTGTCGCAAAATGTGCAGTAACGATGGTCACCAGAGTTGAATATGATCGAATTCGGTTTCGGTTATGTTGCTCTCGAATTGCACTCCAAATGGCGCTGACAAGTCGAAATGCTTTTTCCAAATATGTTATTTCCACTATAAAAATATATAAATATATAGGTACATCAGTATTCACGATACTATGTAGCGTAGTAACGTATTTGTTTCGAACGTTTTTTGGCCAGTACGAGGTGATGAAATCGATTTTTTTCTAATATTTGTATAATTTTCCAAAAATATATTAAAAAAATAATAATTTTAAAAGTTAAAAGCAGTTAATATATCGGGTCATACATGGGTCGATTCGAAATTTCGTTAAAATTTAATACATTTGTTAGCTTTGATTAAGGATGAGCAATTATTTTAAATAATTGTAAACAATTTAATTCATATCGATGTACCCTAATTGTCGGACAGTTTTGATCTACGACCGTCGTTCACGATCAATGCCTCGGTTTGGCGAGGGCGAGAAAAATTGGTTTTGATACAACGAGCAGCCGTAAGTCGATATGCACGAAAGTGATATGAACTCTTTTGAAAAGGAAGCAGAGTTTAGTGATGTTATTTAACTATTAATTCTAAATTCATAAACTCTTCCCCACAATCTGTTTTCACATATTTTAATGATATCACCAAGTGGTGATTCAATAGTTTAGGGGTGGCAAATTATTTTACGTTTAGCATGTTATCTACATTATTAACAAATCTACAATTTAATTTTCTGAAAGATGTCAACAATATTAAAAAGGTACTAATGTTTAATGCTGTAATATATTAAAAAGGTACTAATGTTTAATGCTGTAATATATTATTAAAGATAAAAATATAATACAAATATTTTATTTTTTTGTGCTATGGGTTTGCCACCTCTGTAATAGTTATTATCCAATGTAAATATAAATGTATACAGCACTTCAAATATATTATTCAAAAATAAGTAAAAATTATAATTTCTGCTGTCATAATATATAAGGATTACTAATATAATACGATGGGAAGAGAATAAAACAATAATTTGTAAACAAAAATAATGTGGTACACAAAATTGTATTATTATTGTATCATCACTTTACACATATATACAAATACTTAATTAACATTATAATCACAATAAAATATTTCAAATATTTACATAATTACATAACTTTTTCTTTTATGTGTATATCCATAATGTTCCAACAGTGGTTTTGGTTGAAAATCTTAAAATAGCTACATAAAACAAGACATTTTTATAATCGCCTAAATTATGCATTCTACATGTCAACTAAAAAAAAAAAAAAATTAAAGTTATCCATTTTAGGAAAATATTAAATTACACATTAATGCATATCTATACTATATGACCAGAGGAAGTAATTATTTCATAATTTAATCATGGAAAATGAAAGTAGTTGATTGAATAACTTTTCATTATATACTGTCAAACAATTAAGTTCAACAAAAAAATGACTATTAAAACAATACTGATAAATCACATAATAGAAATGAGCTATTAAGATATTTTTTTCATGTTTACTTTTGTAGAACAGCACAGGGTTTCCTGAGCAGGACAATAAACCATAAAAATATAATATACATACACACACACACACACGCACACACACATATATATATATTTGCAACTAATAATAGAATTATGAAATTAAAATATAATTAATCATGCAAAATTATTACTCAAGAAGAGGATTAATGAATAAATCTACTCCACAAAATAATATATATTAAAAAGAATAATTAAATTAATTAAAAAGGAAAGACATGGGTTTTCGTTTAATTATTGTTAATAATTATGTACAATAAGTTAAATTTAATGCGATGAAAAAAAATTTTGAACTGGAGTCTCTACCTTACAAAAATGTAACACACTTAATTTAATAACCTTATAATAATAAAAATAATAAAATTATTATTAATTTAAACTGGTAACTTAAATTTTTTTTTTTAAATATAATTTGTTTAAATATGTATTATTTCCATGAAGAAATTTATAAATTATGTATATATAGAAATATTATATTAAACAATAATAGGAACAAAAAGCAATGAAAATTCATTAAAACATTTTTTTTTTTAACAAAAACTAATATTAAATATTTAATAAAAATGTCGGGTTTATTATCTATTTTTCAATTTTATTTGGTACTATACAACTTTTGACAATATAATATACAAGCTGCATTTCAAAGATTTAACTATTTTAGATTAAATATTTTAAGATCTTTGCAATATATTGAGTATAAATATATAATATGTATAAAGGGTCAAAAAATCAGTTCATAATAAAAAATAAAAATATTAACCCTGTATGTCCTATTTAATTGTTATAATAAATGTTGCAAGAGTTGCATATATACATACATACATACATACATACATATATATCAATTTTTTTCTCGAGAAAAATAATAAACTTCATTGCACAAATACAATGTAATTTAAGAATTATAAATAATTCATAATATATTCCATGGGCAATAATGAAAACATTTTATTAAAATATTTACTTACATCATAATGTTCTTGAACATTTATATTAATTAATTAAACTATTATAAATAAAATTAATTGCACATTCAAATTCAGATATATCATACAAAATAATAATAATAATAATAATAATAATTATAATAAGTAAAATTGTTCATTCCATTTCATATTTAAAATATAAAATTTATATAGAATTATAGTGTAATATATGCCAGAAGAATGCTAAGAAGAATAAAAGTTGTCAAAATAAGTTTAAAAATTCTCCATTCACAATGATTAAAACATTAAATTCTTTAAGTTAGACTATCTTGACTGAGAAGACTCTTCTTTTTTAGGTAGCTGCATATCTGGAGGCATTTGTCGATGCATATTAGGAGATGGATCTTTAGGTCGTAAGTGAGATTGAGGATGATAACCAAATAATTTAGCTCTATGTTCTTCTTCTTCAGCTCTATAAGCAGCAGCAGCAATTAATGGACTGAATCTCAAAGAATCATATCTAAAAAAAATATACGAAAGATTATAATAATTATTTGTTCATTAAAAATGCAAAAATAAAACCTGTAAATAATATAAAATACAAATAAAGTATTTAAAATTCTAGATAAATTTAGAAATATATTGATTAAATTTTTGCTATTTCTGAAAATATTATTTTTGGTTATTAATTTGAATTAAATTTTTCATTATTAAATACACAAATTTAGATATTTTTAATCTTAATAACAACAAAACCATATTTACAATATAATTTTTGTATAATGAAGAAATAAAACAGTAATTATAATAGTCAATTATAAATATTTGATGGATGCATTGATTTGTTAAGAATACATGTTAATATATAATCAATTAGTAGAGGATTTTGAAATATTATACATTTTTTAGAATCAGGGAAAAGTAAGGACATTTTTGGTTTTTTTAACAGTAAATATTACATTAAGAAATATTTAAACAAACCTATATTGGTCCCATGGTGAAAAATGAGTGGGTAGAGCTCTTTGAGGATGTCTTGGAGGTGGTGGTAAGTAGTGAGAGGTTGGTGGAACACGACCTAACATCATATTATTTAAATCTTCTTCTTTGGACATAAGATTAGGATCTTTTAAAGGGGATCTTTCCCTCATCTTGACCACTTGTTGATGTAGTTGTTGTTGTTGTTGATGTTGATGTTGTAAATGTGCCTGTTGTTGCTGATGTTGCTGCTGCTGCTGCTGCTGTTGATGTTGCTGCTGCTGCTGCTGCTGTTGTTGATGTAATTGCTGTTGTTGTTGCTGCTGCTGCTGTATCATTTGCCTTCTTTTTTCTTCACGTTTAACACGTTCTCGTTCTCTTCCTCTTTCTCTCTCTTTTTCACGTTCTCTTTCTCGTTCACGCTCCCGTTCTCGCTCCCGTTCACGTTGTTGCTGTTCAGCACGTTCAGTTTCAACAGGATCTGGTTTAATTGGCCAACCTGTAGAAGGGCCATATGGTGAATTTGGTGTAGGAAGTCCTCGAGAAGGTTGTAGTCTAGCCCATGGATCATTCATGGGATTAGGAGGGAATGAAGATATTGGTGGAAAACCAGTTGGATATCTTGAAAACATTGCTGCAGGACCTATAATTTTAGATTCATATTATCTTATGTCAATTAAATTCAATAATATAGTGTAGATAAATAATTACCCATAGGAGGATATCCAGGAGGTAATCCTGGATGATGATGATGAGGGGAAGTGAATGGTGAGAGATCATGGGGTGGTCGGCTGGGTGGAAATAAATGTGTTGGTGGCCTTAATAATTCAGTCTTTGGCACCGGATTACTAGCAACATTTTTGGTTTCAGCAACTTGTTGTTTTTGTTGATAATGATAAATTTCCCAAGCTAATCGTACATGCATTGCATTCCACTTTCCAGGTTTCTATAAATTAAAATGGAAATATAAAAATTAATTCAAGATAATGTGTATATTTTACTTACACTTGATTTTGTAGGTTTGGATGTATCAGTCAATTGCTATAAAAATATAAAATAAATATTTGTTATTAATAATATATAATAACTAATTAATTTTAGCACTAAGTTAACTTTTTTTACTTTTGGAGTAAATGTTGGCATGTGATTTGGCGGTGTAAATGGTGTATGACCCATTGAAGAATGTAAAAGGCCTGGTGTAAATCCTGGATAGCTTCCAGATAATAAATTTTGCCTGTAAAATGGTGAATCAACTCCTCCCAATTTTGGTATATCTTTAAACTACAAAAATTAAATTATTAATAATAAATGTATAACAAATAAGTTAATATGTTAAAGTAAAAGCAAACCAGTGGAGGTGCATATAATGCCGAAGATGGTGTTGGTGGTAAGGTTGAAGCACTTGGTATAGATGCTACAGTTGCTGCTACAGCAGGAATAAGTGGTGTTGCTGTATGTTGATGTACATGTGTATGTTGATGCTGATGATGGTGCATTTCTGTGCGTAAATAAGGTGCACCAACTGTCAAAGCTCTTTCTTGAGATGATGCTAAAAATCTGGAGTCTAGTTCTCTCCTTAACATGTCAGCTTGGTCTAAATAAAATAATTTTAGAATAATATATGCACACGTTTTAATTTACATTATAACATACTAGATTGAAATAAAGATTCAGCAGAAAAAGGATTATGAGCTGGTGGAGCTGATGGTAATGAAGGTTGAGATGTAGCTGTAGATACTGGTGACGAAAATAATGGCGGTGGATATGATGATGGATGTTGTCGAGTTATACTTGCCATTGTAGATGTTGCAATACTATTTCTAAAAAAAAAAAAATATTTATTGATTAAGTCGAAATTTATAATAAATCTACATGTGAACTTACCCTATTGGACCCCACAATGCCGGTTTATTATAAACAAGACTAGATGGTACTGAAGATGGGATAGTAGGTGCTAAAGTTGGGCCAGCAGCAGGAGTTAACGCCAATGATGGAGTATTAAATGACGAAGCAGAATTTAATGGAGGACCAGTGTTTCGGTTTAAACTGTTGATACAAAATTCATATAGTTCAATAAAATGAATTAATAATTTAATGTATACTAAATTTACCTATAACCATCACGTTCCCTGCTTGGACTTGGGCCTCGCGGTGACTGTCCTCTACCTAAAATAGGGTGTCCACTCAAAAGTGATGAAGTAGTAGTACTAGTAGTAGTAGCAGCAACCGCAGCAGCAGTTATTGGTGCAACTAGAGTAGATGCAGACATCACACTCGACTTAGTTGATATCACAGACATTGGGGAAGATCGATTTAATCTCTAATAAAGGATTAAAAGAAACAATTAAGATACAAGCCACAATAATATTTATAAACAAAACTTATTAGAAAAAACAAATATTTTAATTATTTATGTATGTTCCAAAGTTTAAGATAAAAGTGCTTTAATTTTAATAAACCTTGGACATAAATAAAAATTAATGAAGATTTGATATACTTAGTTCAACATGAAGTTTAATATACTCAAAAAATAAGACGGTTTTAATCCTTATAATATGAAGTAACTGCAAAATAAATATCTAGAAAGATTTATGATCCCCAATTTTATTTGGCGCAAAGACCTTAAGAGCAAAAAGAAAGAAAACTTAGTTCCTGAAATAAAGCCTTTTGAAAACATTTACTTTTTATAAATGAAGATTTAATTTAACTTTAATACTATTATTTTGCATTTAAATTAATAGAAGATTTTTTATTTTTTAATTAGATTCCGTCACACTTATGGATTTAATTGATTTTAATATCAATAGTAAATAATGTAAAATGTATACTGTATTTTGATATATTAATAGACATTTTATAATTGACAATATTTCATAGTTTATTTTGGATATAATGCAAACAAACACAAAAAAACGTATAACAATAAAGTTTTGTCTAAATAAAAATCATTGGTATGACCATTAATCAAAGAATATACAGTTACGTCATCCTGTTGTTAAAATTAGTAACGCCTAAGTTTAAATAGGGACTATATTATAGTCACTAAACGTCGCTATAATCTTTTGAATTAAACTTGACAAAAACGGATTTTTGTTGATTAAATTGTTGGAAACCTATTTTTACCAAGTTAAACGCAAAATATTACAGAGACGTCTAGTGAGCGAGTGAAAGAAAGCACTAAATATTTTTAAAAATATGATGTCGTACCTGTATATTCAAAAATTAATGGCATAATATAAATACAACAAATGGAAACCTTTTTAATATATATTTTACAAATTGACTTTGAATAAAAAAAACTGACTACATTACATTTAAAAATTAAAATATATTCCCACTAATACTAGGCTGCAGTGCTCTTTCTACCCCTTTTCCCCAAATAATAAGTCTAATTTCGCCAGAAACGCCTCACTCTCAAGATTGATGTATGTAGCAAACTTGCCTTAATTATTTTAGTACTGAGACGCACATTTTTGCTTATTGTTTCCCGTTTCTTATTTGTAATTTTGTTATTTATATTATTCTTAAACCTTAATTATTTAAATTAATCCTATGTAAACAATACTGTAACTATATAATATCTTGTATTCATTACGTATTAATTGCAAACAGCCGACAGTCGTTAATTCTAATAAATAAAAATACAAAAAAAATTAAAAAAAATACAACTTCAAGGATTTGTTTTCAAAAATCGATTTTAATTAAAGTTAGGCTATAAAAATGATATTATGCTCTTCATTTAAAAATTATCTCTATTTATTTATTGTTTGATAAACTAATAATTTTATTTTATAACTATGCAATTAATACAACAGATGAAAGGTATAATTTGAATAGATAAATGACTCAATTCATTGTAGAGAATGACACAGGTATTGTAAAAGAAAATATAACAGTTAATAATTGTAACTAAAAAGTTGAAGTGATTCAATAATAGATATTAACGCTTTAATACGATATTAAAAAAAATAATTTGATAATTTTTAGACAAGACGAATTTATATAGATATTAAGTTTAGATGCTTATTTGTATAAACACGAAAGAGTTTTAAAGCGTTTAACGAGGGAAAATTAAAACTGGAAGTTGGTGGCAACCCAAAAGTTTATATAGAGCGTAGCAAAAGTCGATAAGCGGTGAGCTTTATATACAAGGCAGGGTAGGACTCAGTGGTAGTAATTAAGGAGCTACCACCACTACCGTTGCCGCCATCATGTAGTTTTATCATTAACCTTCTCTAGACTTCTCCTCGGAGTAGCAGAATGGAAAAATTAACATTCATGCTCAAGGTAAAGTGAGAAGGATAATAAGAGATAAAGTGAGAGAAATAGTAAGGTGAACAAATTCTGTGTAACGTTTCCCTCGGCTTCCTAATTACAAGTCCGTTTTCTGCTCCGTTGAAACTCTATTAATATTAATGATGCCGTTAAGTTTAACAACAAAATGATGGCCTATCAACTAAACCATAATCAGAACTATGGACGATGATTTTTTAAATAACATCACAATTTATGGTGAAAATGTAAAATAATAAGTAATAAAAGTTTAAATAAATGTTTAGACTTATAAATAAAACGTATTTAATTGTAATACTAATTACATAAGCGAGGAAATTTAGACACATCAACAGAGAGGTTATAAACGCAATGATACCAATGTGGTTCATATAACCATTTTTCCCATCTATTATGATAAATAATAACTAATAATGTTATAAAAATATAGATATTAAAAATTAACAACACTCTCCTTAGTCTGAAAAACAATTCAAGAGATTTAATGAATTTAAATAATATACAATTAGTTATAAAATTTTACTTGAAAGAGTCTTTCAAAAAATTATTTTTATAATTTTTATAATTATTTATATAATAATTATAGTTTTTATAATTGAAATGAAAAAACTAGAATAGTCATAATATATGTATATTATTGATCTAAGTAACTACGGCCATTAGTTGACAATGGAACAATGAGAAGGGTAACATTAATGATAGTTTTTAAAACACGTGAGTAAGTACGTGATCTGAGAACATGATATCATTACTAAAAACCCATATGGTCATTCTTCGGAAGTTAGCCTGACGATGTTTAACCGGGCGTCGCCCGATTGCGGCCCTAAGTAACCTTTTTACCTTTTCACCTATCCCGATTGCGGCCCGTACATAGCAGGTAGGAATTACTATTCAAGTGGTTATCAAAACCAAATAAATATCCCGATTGCATCCGATACGTATTTTGACATCATAATCAACTCTCGTAATCACGATTCATACGATAACCGATATTCGGTGTGGTAATTTCCATAGATATATACAACAACTATTATCTATTTTTTTTTACTGTAGATAATTTATTATTTTAATATTCGACTATTTATTGACTATTTACTGACATAATTGTATTTCATATCTTTTTATATTGTAAAAAATGTATTATTTTACTATTTTACCATTTGTTACTGCAATCTTGTAATTATACTTTAAAAATAAATATTAAACATTTTGTGAACCAATGTGTGTCTGGACGCAATCGGGATACTTATATTTAGGATAAAATACGACTACCTGGATTCGGGCCGCAATTGGGCAACTCCGGTTTAACCGGAGCACTATCAGTAGCCAACCAATGCGCCACATCATACTTCAACCTAATTACAGTAAATTAAATTTAAAATTGTATTCTAGTAAATTGATAATTATTTAATTATAATAATTTGAATAAAATTTATAATAATTCTATAAAACTTAAAACCAAATTTAGGATGTTATTATACATATTAGTATTTTCGAAATAATAAATTTTGAAAACAGTTAATAAGAATTAATAATAAAATCATTTTAACGATTATAATAATCCCAGTTATATAATATGATATTTTTATACTTCAATTTTATATAATTTGTTAATACGAATTTAAATTGTTAAATTTTATATAGATATAAAATATACATAAATAATTCAATAATTATTATTTGAATGCTGTATATTTAAGACAAATACTTACTGCTGCATTCGACAATGCAGATGGCATGTAAGGTGTACTTCTGTATGGAGCATACAATGGTGGATAATGCTGTGGAGGAACAGGAGGTTGGTATGGAGAGTTAAAATTAGTTGCCGGCGATGTTGCGGTGAGTTGATTGTTGCTTGAAGTACTAGAAATCGTAGCAGAAGCTGACACAGTTACTGTGGATGAAGGAGTAGTAGAATAGGGTATATAAGAACTAGATACGGTAGCTAATAATGATGGGGTGGATTTATATGGACTAGGATGAAAACCGGGTGAAGAGTAGGGAACACCGTGAGGCGGATGATACATCATATTAGATTTTTGCATATAAGGAGAACTATGTTGATGAGGAGAAGGCATTTGTTGGTTAGACGATTTTGGTATATAATTAGATGCAGCGTGAGATAATACGGGGTTTTGTGATGAGGAAGAAGTTATATAAGAATTTGTGATGCTCAAAGACAATGGACATGCTTGAGGTGGAGTTTGATATGGCGGTACACTTGTAGGTGGTAATGTATTAGTGGGAAAATTTCGAGGACTGATAAGTCCTGAAGATGATACCTGAAATATAAATACACATAATTTAAATAATAATATCATAAATCACATAAAAATAACAAAAAATTAAAAAATATTAGTGAATTCATTATATTAGATAATTATTAATTATATTAAAAAGACGATATTAAATTAAGAATTACAATATTATAATTAATTAAACCAAACGCCACTTTTGGTATTCGTTCATTATGCTGCAAATATATTGAAATAATTAACTATCTGACAATATATAAAATCATTCAAATAATAAATCACATTACTTTAATTATAATAGATAACTGATAATTAGTTCAGTAACATTTCTTATAAGGTAATAATGCTCATTTTGTTTCTTTATAATTCACTACTAAGATAATTATAAAGCACGTGCGAAACATGAAAATGATTCATGAGTGGTATATCAACATTTTTTATACCCAATAAGTGCGATATTAGGCCGGTTACAACTGGTTTCTTACTGTGAATACTGATGTGATGATATATAAGATAGTCAATATGAACTCGTTTCAACTGCAATCTGGATATAAGAGGGTATTGTATAAATACCCCCATGATAATAACATAAAAAAAACTGAACGTCGAAAAAAATAAAATAAAAACTTTGCCAGGAATGGTATAAAGAGAAACTTGAAATGAATGTATGGAATACACAATATTCTCAGGAATGATTAAATACAATTACTATACATGTTTCTTGAATCGATAGAATAAAATATTATTTATTATGATTAAACAATATTTTATTTTGACTAATCTAATAAAATATTTTAACTTGAAATAATTTGTGGAACATAATCTGGAATAAATTATTAAATATCAATCAAGAAATAGTGAGCACACAAATCTAAGGAATCAATCACAATACAAATAAATTAAATATTAAAACCATTGTATTTTTTCTACTTTTTCTTATTTCAACATAGTTAATATAAATTTAGCATTTGTTGAATATAATATAAAAGGAAATCGACCTATTAATAATATAATTTAAAAAACGTTTCCACAATTTGTTATCTACTGTAAGGGTTTCGATGTTTTAATTTTATAACGAGATTCCTATATGTATTTAAAATGTTAATATCTCTATTAAAAACTGACGTGAGATAGCAGAAAATATTCTTATCGTTAAATTTGTTAATAGGTCAATATACTTTGATATTGTAAATTTCTTATGTGTACGTCAGAAAGAATGAACAAATCAGTTCGTAGCTGCCTCGAATGACCTTTACATGCATATAATATAATAATGTTATTTATTAGGTATTAATTTAACTATATTTACAAGTTATAATATCCAAGAAAATATAACAATAGAAAAATTAAGGCTTTCAATATATAATACACCTGTGATGATAACTTGTTTTTTTCTCCGAGTCAAGAATAAAATATAATAACATTAAAAATATTATATGTTATAGTTGTAATGATTTAATTTCATATTTTATAAAAGTTTATAAAATAATTTTATTAATTCATATTGTAATATAATATTATAATTGATGAATATAAAATATAACAGATAATATATAGTTGATAATTTTGCTTACCGGAGAGTACCGCGATGTAACTGAAGCAGAAGGTGTTGAAGCTTCATGTCCATTCACGTGTGCATTTTGAGATTTAGATGTAATAGGAGGGGTAGAAGCTGGAGGTATTGTAGGGGATGGACATGTTGGTTGAGACACCTGTAGTGCCCGAGGAGTAGTAGATGGAGGTGGTAACATAGGAATTTGTGAGGGTCTGATATGAGTCATAGATGCTGTAGTTGTTTCAGGCGCCGAATGGTTATCAAAATCTACGCCATTAACTAATGGAGGAGTAGGTTGTCGACTAGGCGGTGTAATGGATATAGGATCTTTAGCAGCTGTTGCAGGTACATTTTGGGCAGGTTCAGAAGAAACTCTTCCTGGTAATTCATCTAAAAATTGTATTCAACAAAATTGTATTCATAACTAATTATATATACTCTTACTACAAAAAAAAATTTAAAAATATATAAGAAGTTTATTAAGATTAGAAAACATAATTTTTAATTTTAACTTTCTATTAATATAACATTTGTTTATAAAAAATATTATATAAAAATATATTTGGTTAAAAATATAATTAGTAGGGTTTTTGAAAACACTTAAAGAGTATTTAAATCAATTCATTTTTTTAACGATACATAAAAAAAAATAAACATTATTATATAATTTGAAGTACTGCTTACCTTTCCTGGAAACCAGACTGGTTCTAAAAAGGTCAGAATTATCTGAACCCTGAAACAAAATAAAAATCTTACAATTTAATCTAGTTTATTTTCAGAACTCAATAAAATTTTACTATCGTTATTATTATATTTTCAAAAAGCCATAATTTGCGCCACTACATTTTTAATAACTCTTGTGTTTTACGACTATTAGATATTTTAAACACCATAAAAATAAAAAATAAAATAAGCTATGGTAGTCGTGTTTACGATTCATTACAATAATCGTAAAACGTATTGAAATTTAGTCATTCAAATTTAACATTAAAACGATGTAATTTTTAAGATTAATATTGCTGCTGGATTGGATAATAATTTGAGTACAAATACTTACAAACACAATAATTAATAAATTTGAATTTTAACTAAACACATAAAATAAAAAATGCTATATTTAGAACTCCTAGGTGCTACCTATTAATAATTATTGAGTGGTTTTTTATCGAATACATATGTTCCTTTTCCGATAAAAATAACAAATTGTTTTTATTATAATAAGCGTTATCATTAATTAAAAAGTATTATATATATATACATTTTTTAAATTCTGTGTGTGTGCGTAAATATGATTATTATACTTAAAAATGTAGATAAAGGAAAAATATAAGATTCAGACACGAATAATAAAATATAATAAATTGTATTCAAGGTCTTCGTAACTAAGTATCTATGTACATCTTATTATACAACACTATACAAAAAAAAGTAAAAAAGTAAGATAATATATTGAAATATCGATATGCAAAGATGACTGAGCATTTATCAATATATATATATATTTATCAATATCAATGAATAATAACGATTTATGAATTAATTCTATATTTCCCATTTTGTTTGTCCAGTGATAATATCTTATTTACGTGAATACATGTTAAACAAGGTCATAAGCAAAATAGATTGTGGAAAAGTACTATAATGATAAATGCGAACAAATATTATACATCCATCTATTATATCGATTAATAAGTCAGATAATTTTCTGACTCAATCATTACGTACCATTATTACAGTCTACATTTTGAATAAATACTGAATGTTTATAAATTATAAGCAACTATAATTGTTGTTTGGAAACTATTATTACTGTTTAGTTAGGATTTGTCATTATACGATGTCATTATAGTCTATTGTGATAACACAGAAATAATATTTAACATTAAAATTTTTTTTAAATACTATAAAAATGATGAACAGAAAATATCTGGACAATATTAACCGACGAATATTTTTGCAATCTAAACAAATACGTGAAGCCTTTCGACGGTTAAAACTAGGTAGTAAAGGTGTATTGTTAACAGTAATATAAGGAAGTTTAATTCACAGTGGAGTTCTGAGAACATTACGCGATGCTATAATAAATACCACCACCACTACCACCTCCACGCACGAGGTCACATAATAAAAAAAAACCACCACTAGGGGTGTAACGTACGACGGATAGAGAGATATGCGAGAGGGAGGAATACACTTAAAAGTTGTGTAGGTTTTAAACTGGCCATAAAAACATAGTTAAAGTGAAACGAACGCGGAAAAAAAATAATAAATATAATCCAAACGTACAGACATGGAAACTGGCGGCAATGCATTGCATTCGAATGTATAAGGTTGTTGGACACGCGCTCAACCAGAAGCTTTACAACACAGAATAAACGAGATAAAAAGAGGCTTCCGAGTAAGAAGCACGTGATGACGGGGTAAAACGACACATACTTCAATACTATCAACGTACGCGCGATTACGTATCGGAAGCGATCGCACGGATTTCCACCATGCGGTTGTGCGTGGAAAAAAAAAAAAGGAAAAAGAAAAAACGTTTACCGATTGACTGTTCGGTCCGTCGACAGTCATGACGACGGTTTGTTCAAAAGGCGGCATTTCTCAGTGGACGCATGACCACGAACGCGTTGCCGGTGCCATTTGGGCAGATCGAGACGAGTGGTCCACCAGTGGTGTGCGGGCGATCGCGGCGGGAGAGGAAACACCTATACACGGTGCTGACAGGGGGAACACGTGCGATACGAACTCCGGCGTGAACACGCATACACTATAACGGCGACGGATCGGAAACGCAGCAGGTATATAAAAAAAAAAATAATAATAAAAAATAAAAAATAAAAACACGACGCGCGACGGACGTGAACGCGCACGCACCAAGTTCACTTGGTTAACTGACTCGTGGCTCGGTTTTACGCCGCGGTAGCAGAACACCCGCGAGCTCGCGGTGACGATGGACGCGGAAAGGGAACGCCGACGACGGCGGTACAGCGCGCACGCGTCTCAACGCCACCGCCGTCGTCGTCTGGTCTCCTCCTATTTGCCGTCGTGTGCATTTCCCCCCCAAGGGTCGTAAAAACTTTAGCAAAGTTACGTACGTACGTACGTGCGAGCGATCGCGTGGCGTGTGCGTGTGCGTGCGTGCGCGCGCGCGTGCACGAGTACTCGCCGCGTGCGCGCCTGTACGTACGTGCGAGCGTTTGCGGAGGAAGGCGGGAAAACATGGGAGAAAATTCCTGCACGTCTGCCGAGTGAAGGAAAAAAAGAAAAAGTAACCCGACCTAGTCAGAAACGGTAAAATCACACAACTACTTCCATCCCTTCTTTTATTTATAAAATATCGACCGGCTTTCGTATACATGTCGTTTTCGAATGGGGAAAAAGGTGGATATATCTGCTCTACGTAATACAGGTGCATTGCTCTTTTATACCTACAGGAAGAGGATTACTTTGCAATTAATTATTGATACATTTAACATTAAACAGCGGCACGGAATAAACATGATAGACGAGAAAATAATTATCATTAAACCACCGCCGCCGCCGTCGAGGAAATATAAGATTCCCGGACGATGAGCAATAAAAAATTCAATATATTCAAAAGCAGCAAAGTACATAAGGGGAGAGTTAAGAGGTGCGGTAGTAACGGGTGTAGGATGATTTTTCTTCGCTTCCACTGCTCGGAAAAGTGTTATAATAAATATTCATGTCGCTACCACTGTAAAGCGATGTCGAAAAGCCCATTATTATTATTTGCAGAAGGAAAAACATCAACGAAGATTTTCCCCCTCCATTAAAGATAACTTTCAGACTTTGGTGTGCACCCAGAAGGAAAGAGGGGTTTTTTTTCCCGGGAACAAATCGACGAGAATAAAAACTAAACGAATGCGGAAGAGAGGACAGGATGAAAAAGCCCCGGGCCGACAAGATTTTACGGTCGTTTTTCTTTCCTTATAAATGATGAGGGAGAAAGAACAATATAATACTTTACTACTTCTATTACAAAAATAATCAAGATTACACGGAATGAAATGAGCTAATGTGAATAAAAAAAAAAAAAAAAAAAAAAGCATGTACAGTGATTTTTATTACAATAATCGCGAACAATTTAAAATAAAACCGAATAATTTAATCTGTTTGTATTTATTACAAATAATTAAGTTTCAATTAAGAAAAAACACTTAAAAACGAAAAAAATATTAAATGAATGAATTATTCAATAGCTGTTAATTATTTTATTAATATAAATAATAAACATTGGGGTCTCGATTCAATAAGTAGTATCATAAAAAATGTTTTAAATTAATTAACGGTTGTTAAAAAATATTCACAGTATTATTGCGTTTTACTTTATAAGACTTTATATTAAGAGAATACTACACCCGGATGTGTTGTCTCCGTCTGACAAACATATAACACAGCAAATTTGCTGTGTTCAAATGTAGCTAATATCACTACGTCAACATTAACATACATAATAGAATAAAATAACCAATAATAAAATTTTAAGGGAAAAAACATCAAGAACAATATCTGTATTTTATTAGTCGAGTTTTTCCAATATTTAAATTATTAAGCTTATTATGAGTATATAAAATATTACGTCTTAAAAAAAACTCATTAATCGCTTAAAATTAAAATTTAAGAAAAAACTAAAAAAAAAAACAGATAATGTTCTTCCCTTAAAGTATTATTATAGGTCAATTTAATCTTATATTAAAGCGAACATCACTACAATTGAACTTCTTACGCAAATTTGACTGCTGTACGTGTGTCAGACGGAGACAACACATGCGGGAGTGGCACCCTCTTAAGTAAACTGTTTTAATCCATATCAAGAAACAACATTCTGGGAATGTATAAATACATACTATCTAATAATACCTTATGGTATTTAAATAAAACATATTCAACATGAAAAATATAATTGCTTTAACAGTATATAAAAGATAATAATTTGTATGTTTTCGAATACGAGTGCGATAATATCACTCTATGTACTGATTATTTTACTATATTAAAGTACGGTTTAAAATATATTATAAAATATAATTTTAAAATTAATTATTTTAAATGAGTACTTAAATGTTTTAACCTAAAACACTAGTGTTTAAGTAAATTTAACGTTAATTAAATAAATAATCTCATTACAAATTTAAGAAACATTTTAATTTTATTTTACAGAATCTAGAATCTACATTACAAAATAGATAAATAATCTAAGATTATTTTCATAGACAACCTCACATTATTATAAATTTAAAAAAATAATAATATTTATTCAATTAATATATAAATCAATAAAATCGACTAAGATTCAATGGTACAAGTTAGTAATAAGGCACTGTGGTACTATATAATGGACATAATGCAAATTAAAAATAATTAATCTAGAACATCAAACTATTAAAATCTAATATCTACGATCAAAATAACATTCAAAAAAGTCTTACCTTATCGCCATCATCTTCACTGTCACACTAAAATAATAATAATAATAATAATAATAATTAGATATATGTTACACTAAATAGAAGCACACAAAATAATGAATAGGTATTGAAGAATATTAAAAATATATTATTGATTACACGTTTAACACCAATTAAAATAAAAGTGCTTTAAATTAAATCGAACTTAACATTCAAGATTTTTTTTTTTGTATTTAATTATAGAGAATATTTTATATTATAGAGATATAATAATAGAGAATTTTATATTATAGAGAAATTAAAAATTGATCACAAATTCATGAGTTTATAATAAATGGTCAAAAAAACATAAATATTATTCCTTAGTATATTAAATTATTATATATAACTAGTAACATTATTCGTATTGATTATATACTGATATCATAGATTTCCACTGGTTCAGGTTTTAGAAAAAATATTATCTTATTGATTTCATATTTGACAATTTACATTTGTCCAGGGTGGGTGTTCATGTCAAATCCTAGTTGAAAAAATAATTTACTAAAACAATTTACTCATCGGGTTCCCAAACGGGTTTGCCAGATAATGCCGATCTGGAAACGTTAAGACAAGTGTAAAAGACTGAATTGTAAGTTGTAAATTAAATATTAAAAATTGAATTGTAAATTTAGATAAGGCCCGAACGAGTGTGAATGTTTGATCCGGTTCGACCAGGACGTACCGTATCGTGTAACGGACTCGGCACAGACCTGTGATAATAGACCTTAAGCAATGACGATCGAATTGGATAAATGGTTTACAATTTAACTACAGAAATAATATTGAAAACATTTTTTTCAAACTACAAATATTGAAATAGAAATTTTCAGAATTTTAAGTTTGTATGTTTTAATATTGTTTAAAACTAAAATGATACAAATGTTATGAAATACAAGCTGAAAATCCTATCTGGGAAAATATAAAATAAAAGTGGACTTTACTATTCGTAAAAATGATCTAATATACCAGTGATTTTCAACCTTTTTGATTAGCAACACACTTTTCTTATATTTTTTGAAACCTATGATAGGCTTCGTTAGCCATAAAAAAATTAAATAAGTTAAAGTTGTTTAATAATAATTATAATGCACAGTACTTTTTTTTTTGTTTTTTTGGGTAATTTTTTTTTGCTTTTAAGTCACATTTATTCAAAATATATTCTAAATAAACGTATTTGAAATATTATTATTTATTTTTAAATTATATAATGTATTTCAAATATTGTTCAATCATTTATTAACAACCTTTCTCGGTGTGTTCAGTTTGTCACGTACCGTATTATAGGTGGTAGGTATAATAGTAGATTAATTTATCTTGAAACGCCAATAAACACAAAAATATGCCATGCTCTGGAAATTATTTACTCTGAATAACAGTTTAATTTTTGTTATAATACCGTAAAATCATTTGCAAAATGCTAAATATTATTTATTTATTTATTTATTTATTTAAAACCTATTTTTAATTATTTTTTGAAAGATTAATACAGTGTTATTGCTTTTTTTTAGTGGTTTTCTTTATTTTTTTTTTATTGCTTTAAAATCCGTACTTTAATTATTAGTAACGATTCTTATAAATATGTTTTTGTTTAAATAGTAAAAATATTTTAATACATTTTAATATTAATACATTTAATACTTACAATATAACCTCTGCCTGAACTACAATTACTACTAGCCTATAAAATAAAATAAATTTTAATTATAGTTCATTATAATTTAACTTAAATAATATATCTTACATCACTGAATCGTTCTCTCGAGCTCGACCGTCTTTGACCACTTTGACTAGGTGACGATGTAGATACTTTGATACCAGACGGTCTTTTAAAAGATTGTACAAGAGAAGCATCATTTTCACCACCTTCACTATCGTGTTTTAAATCAAGGGACAATGGATTCTGAAAATGCAATGTTATTCATAAAACAAATTGGTCAATCTTTTCATTATCTACTATCCCCAACACAGAAATATAAAAAATATAACCATTTATTTAGATGATTGTCATCGATCATAAATTTTTTTTATTATTTAATACTGGACATAAATACATAAAAATGCGTTTCTTTCGTAACGTTATGATTAAATCTATACTGTTTATTTGAAGTTGAATCAAAATTCTTTTTATTCATTTGAGTAAAATAAATAAAAACTTCAAAAAATCCGATACATTTTTACAAATTATAATTAACACAAATTAAATTAATGTTATAATTATATTATATATAATATTATTAACTAATTTTAAAATGATATTTTTATCAATTAATAAATACAATTATTTATTGAATTAATATGAAATTGGCAACATTGAGCATAATTGCTAGAGACAAACTGACTGTTTATTTTTTTATACTCAATTTTTTTTTTTTTTTTAATTACTAATTAGAGAAATATACAATATGTACGCATATGGTACAGTAAGCATAAGGAAGTATAGAAATAAACAATAGTATAGTGATTAATTATAAGTATACAATAGTTCCTACTTATATATAACACTAACATTATTATGCATGAAATGCGTGAATTGAGGAGGTTAGAGGTTAAGAGTGTCCAGAGACAATACTTCCGCGGGAATATTTGTTATAGTTGTTTATATTTTATTTTATTTTTTTATTTTAATACTCAAATTTCAATTAATATTAATTTATTCAATGAATAAAATGTGTTCAATGGTGTGTACTTTGGTTTAAACACATACAGAATTGTACTTTTGATTTATACATAAATTAGGTTTTTTCAATAATTTTTATAAACATATATATATTCCTAATTATTTATCAACAATGTATATTGAATTGGGTCAACATTTCGTAAATTTGTAAACTTTGAAAAATGGCAATTTAAACTTTTTAAACCAATATCCAGTTATAATCCCACAACTTTATTTACAATCTCTAATAATACATTTGCAAAACATTTTCACGGGAAAATGAAATGTCATGTTACGATTATTAATGCAAGATTTAGATTGTAGTCGGATTCCCAATGTTTAAAAATACCAAAATAGTAATATTTTTATCTGACTACATAGTTTATCCTTACTACTATAGTGCTGTGTTTCATGATAATTTACAACATTAAATATACACAAAGAAATTATCTGATAATACCGAACACCGTGGCATCATAATTTTTAGAAAATACGACGAAGTGATAAATTTAATTACAGAATAGTTAAAATAGTTTAATATATTTTATTAGTATATAAAATAAAAAAATACTTATGGGTGCACGTAAAGTTCGGTAGTTTTTTTTTTATGAAGACAATGAAGGACAATAAACAAAAAATAATGCAAAATATCTTTATCAACAATCCTGTTAAGAAGAAGACCTGCATGTGTTTCTCCGTCTGATACACGTACAACATAACAAATTTTTTTTTCGTTTGACTTACCTTGTTATGATTAAAATTATTAGGTGTTGTTGGTGGACTGGGTACATTGTACTCCGATTTGACTGGTGTAACTGGAGTGCTGGAATTACTATCATGATGATTATTGTTATTATGATTGTGTACATGATTTCGATGATGTTTATGGTGGTTCCTATGTAAAAAGCTTTGAGATGATGGATCAAGTCCAAGAGTCACTGCACTCTTAACTAAACATTGTTGAACACAATTCTAAAAACAGAAATACAAAAATTATTTTAATAAATTATTATTGAATTTAAATCTGTCACATATAATCATAACTATAACTTATTTATTAAAAATCTAACTAAAAAACATCTAAAAAAATAACTTTAAAATATGCTCAATGATATCTAGTAACGGAAATAGATGAATCCTTATTTCTAAATCAAGATCGAATTTACTATTTTTTTTTACTAAAAAAAAGTAGAACTAAATCCGTTGAATAGAATTATACATCTCTTTTGAATTTTAAATTTCAAACCCAGTTATTATATAAGTAATAAAATATTTAATTTTTGATTTAAAAATGAAATTTACTGTTTATTTCAATAAAACTATAGTTTCTTTTAAAATTTTAGAAAACTCTAAAACATTTTACAATGTTATCTAAAATTAGAAGTTTTCGAAATACCATTGAAAATATAATATTATAACCAATTTAATGGAATAATAAGCACTTATTTCATTGTATAATATTCACATGGGAGATGAACAAATATAATTATATTGATGAACATTTCTCATTAATTATCATTGTATAATAAAACTATAATAAAATAAACTACCAGCATATCATATAATCAATATAATCCCACGTTACTACTATTACCATTTAATGATAAAAATAATAAAAAAGTAAATTATAACTTATGTAAAATCAATATTTTTTCAGTTTAAAAATCTAAGGAAAAATAATTACAAATTGTAACAACTCGGAATTTTATTTTATTTTAAAAGTATTACACTTAACTCAATAATTGAATTATAATTTACAATTTACAATATATAACACTCGTAATTATTATATTCAATTTTATTTTTCATAATTAACTATTTATTAAAATGAATAGGATAGTACTGTATTATTTTAAAAATAAATACATCAGTGTAACCATTGAGTCAATTTCATTTTTCAGAAGGCTAGAAAATAATGAATGAACAGTAATTTATTGTGTATAACATACAATTCAACATCTATTTTAAAAAAAAATGAAACGTTTTATTTATGTTGTACATACTTAATTTATTCCCTACTTCAGCGCTAATAAATTATGAGTCTAAGTTCCCGAAAGCATTTTAATGAGGGTAGCATATTTGTTCACACCCAGTCCCACCACTTAACTATTATAAACATATTTTACAAGAGCTTAGGGTCGTCTCACATACATTTTTTGAAATAGCATACCTAACAAATACTGAATCACATTGCTCTCTAGTTATTCCTTTCATACAACTATAATTTACTACCCTACCAAACACTAAAAAAAACAAATACAAGTGGTGTTGGAAGTTTAATTTACCATAATGTAATAACAAACTGCGCGGGAGTTACAATTTTTTATGAAGGAATTTAAATATTTTAATTTAATAACTGACCAATGAATAATAATAAAATTATAAATTTAATAATGTATTAGTTCATATTATGAATCAATATATTATATTGAACACAATATTCACCTAATAAATAAATTAAAATAATTCAATACAAATTAAATTTATGAATAATACCTATCAAATAGATTATTGGTGAACTTGTAACATTTGAATCAATAAATCGTAAAAAATAATCAACTCCTATCAGAATATATAATAAATATTATTAATAGTTTTAAACATTTAACGAATTTATTTAATAATCGTCATTTCTGAAAATTCAATACACCAATAGTCATGTATAACGAATGCATAATAAATTTCAGAAACGAGATACACTTTTAAATAAAGTAATTAAAATTATAATATATCTTAAAGTTTTTAAAATGTCTATAATACAATATGGATTTAAAAAATTATAAATACCAAGAATAATATGTATGCTTTTAAAAACGAAAATTATAAAATATAAAATAAATGCATACAACTTGTTAACCACTATGTTTTTAGCTTTATAATATAGCGAATAGTATTAAAAATAATAACTAAATTAATTTAATTATGGAATATTATGAAAAATCTACATAAAATATAACACAAAACGAAATTCGACAATCAAGTGTAGATACAAATGCCATATCTAGACTTCATAAGTTTATTTACATTTATTTATTTTCCTTTGTGATATAAATAATAAAAAACAAACATTTGAAGAAAAAAGGCTATGCAAGGGGGACTGTCTCATTTATCCCCCCTCCAAGGACTCCCATTAGTAGATACAAATATAACTTATGGTCTATACATCAGACTATAACGAATAAATAAAAAAAAGTTACAAAGGAATAATTACAAAAAAAATGAAGTGAAATAATATTACACTATTTGATAAAAATTACAAATTTTTAACATCGATTAAAAATATGAATTACTTAAGAGTACTCGAACTACCTATTCTCCACATAATGATGAAGTTTCTAAAGTCGAGTGTTTGGAATTCGTATTATCAACTTTAATTGACTGAGTATGCTTAGTAACAGTTTGGTGGCAAGTGGTTTGAACTATAAAATCAGTTTTCATATTTACTTATGAATATTAAGTTAACAGTTCAATAATACAAATACAGCTTTTTAACATTAATTTATTCATATAACTTAATTAGTAAGGATGTTTTTTTGCATAAATTAAACAAGCAGTTATATATTTAAGGAAGTTATAATAAATTAATTTAAAAATAACATTAATTAAGAAAACTTAGAACATATTTATCGTAGATAATGAGCAATCATAAAAATTATTTAAAAAATCGGTTTTAATAAATTAAATAAAAATTGAAGGATGTAGGTAGGTAGGTACCTATACAATTAAAATTATATATTATTATTACGTTATTTTTAAAAACACATGTTTCTAAATCAACAACTAGAATTTTACAAAATAACAATTTTCATAAAATAATGTAATACAATTTTTATTATTGATGTATAACAAGGTTTCCTCGCTTGAGTGTGATTGCATCAGAAGGTCGACAAGAATGTGGCCCAACAAGAGTATGGATTTACTCGAGTTCAATTTAATTATGAGTTGAACTAACACACTAGTTAATATACAATGAATAAACGAACGTGATATTACTTTATGCATAATATATTTCAGACTACCAGTAAAAAAAATTGTTAAACAATTCCATCAGGATTATTCTCTATATATATATATATATATATATATAAAAAAAACCTGTCTTGTATCAAAGATATTTAACGTCTCGGTTACACATATTGAATGAGAATCATTTTTAAATATAACATTATATTAACCAAGCCCAATAGTTACGTATAAAAAGTATTCAATTTAATGCTGTCGTAGTTGGTTAAACTTAAGTAATACACACCTAAATTAAAATCCGTTCATATAATTTACAAATTATGTTTTATTTTATACTTTTAATAACTCGGCATTCGAGTGCACACTGAAAAACTTTCAACTACGGACCAATTTCTGTTTGATAATTTTTTTTCCTGATTTTACCAAATTTTAAAGGTTTCAGAAAACTGAATTTCAACATTTTTTGTATTACAGTATAATAATGTTAATAAAAAAATGTAGTAGATTTTATCTTCCACCATCTCAAAGATGAAATAGCAATTTAGTTATTAAAATAAAATATATAAAGCATAAACGTGAGTATATTCCAAAATGCAAAAAATAAAATAAAAAAATATCAGAATATAAAAGGTATTTTGTAAAATGTAAATAATTATTAATTTTTACAAATAATTTTTAATTTTAAATACCTTATTAACTTAAACTACCATGTTGTTATATTATTTAATTTTACAAAAATAGATAGCTTTCAAATATATTTTCATAGCAATTTAAAAGAAAATTATATAATGATTATCCTTTTTTTATTATACATTAAAATTATAAGTGATGCATAGTAATCATTTTTTTTTCAAAATAAACCAAAATAAAAAAATCTAAGATTAGAAATAGGTGTTAAGTAAACGGATACAGTAAAAATTCTGCATAGTTTAACGATGTTATACCGTCAGAAAGAAGAATATTATCAAGAAATATAGGTCACTTTTAGATTTTTTTTAATAAAAACCTAATAAGTAGATACATAATAGTATGAAATAAATAAAAATTTATTACATTTAGTATCTATGTACCAAAAGTTGAATTGTACGTTTGAAAACCAATACATACCAATACACAATACGTAAGCCATAAGCCATATTAAAGTATGAGAACATCGTGCACGTATTTCTTCATTTACACTAGTATGATCAAAGTTTTGCTATTTAAAATATTTCAATAAATTCGTGTAAATGTTTATCAAGTTAATACCATTAAGGTACATAGATACATGATTCTTAAGTATGAATAACCAATAAAGTCAATCATTTAGGACGAGAGTCTTATATTAAAGTATTTTCAATAGAAACACAATATTTACTCTGATATTTGCACATTACAGGTAGTTATTAGAAGTGGAACGATTTAAACAATGACATATCAAATGGGTACCTCTTTACCGTTTGCTAACCCACGAATACGATCTCTGAATACCGAACAACAATAACGATTTTTTCCGCGTGCAACGTTGACATCCACACGACCCCGGGGCAACAATAAATGTAAGTACCGCAGTATACCACCACCACCAATAACAAACCAAACCAACCCGCATACGCGAAAATAAACAAACGGTCGCAGGAGGGACACAAAGAAACATCGCCGCAACCGGCAAACACGGACGTATGTCTAGACTATCATGTGGCGCTACGATCGTTTGCGCAGCACAAACACCGCGAGCGATGAGGAAAAGATGCTGCTGCCGCCGCCTTTTCATGACCGCCCTACGGTGCGATTCGGCGGAACATATCGATCGAACAGAAGCCGACTACCACCACCGCCGCCGCCGCCGCACCATCGGTCATCGCTTTTGTTCGATAAGGTTGACGGAAGGAACGGTCGGCCAGGAGGCAGGGTAGGGTTTTGCATCCAAACCGGCTCGGGTTCACAAAACACGCACGGCATGCCGCCGTCGCCGTCCGTCCATCCGTCGGTCGGTCCGGTCTCCGACGAGCACGGATGAACATGACACG